TCCTACTTTGTTGTTCTTCTTCAACAGTGCTTTGCTTATCCAAGGTCTCTTTCCTTTCCATATGAAGTTGTTGTTGTTGTTATGTGCTGTCGAGTCGGCCGTGACTCATAGCGACCCCTCCTTGGGTTTCCGAGGCAGTATCACTACGGAAGTAGGATTGCCCAACCTTCCTTCCAAGGAGTGGCCGGTGGATTTGAACCGCCAGCCCTCTGGTTAGCAGTCAAGTGCTTTAGCCACTATGCTACCAGAGCTCCTCTTATGCATGTATAGGACAAATTATAAATAATATATATTTTACATTATAACCTCATTTAAGTAGCTTTTTTAAAAGTAACTGGCTTCTGTATAGAATACTAATGTTTGGACCTTTTCATTTAATATATATTCTGTGCCTTTTACCTCCCATTAAAAATTCTCTTATTTTAAGGTTTTGTGTGTTCAGTTTTATAGATGAGGTACCACTTACTTAGTAAGTCTTCTAGTATCATATGTATAGCTGTTTTTTGCAAAAAGTTTTATAATATCAATATTATAATATGGACTCTATAAATAAATATTCAATCTGTGTTAGAATGAACTCACAAGAGTACAATTAATTGGAAAAATTATATACCATTTTAAAGACTTATATTTCATACATTGCTCTCAAGGAAATTTATACCAAACATTATCACATCAGTAATGTGGAAAATTATGCATTTCCTTACATTCTCTCTAACACTGAGAATTATTATTTAATAAGAAATCTTTGTCACTTTGAAGGATGAAAGGTATCTCACTATAATTTTTAATTAGCATTTATTTGATTATTTGAAAATGTATTTCTTCTTTTAGGGGATTGCCTGTTTATACCCTTTGTCCATTTTTCTTTTGGGTCAGGCTCACCTATTTTATACATATTCTGTACAGAAAATTAAAATATCATTCAAGTGTTAAACCCAACCTAAATTCTATTATGATGCAAAGTAATTGCAGGTTGTTAATGCTATTTACAATCCATATATCAATTTTATTTCACCATTGAAATAAAAAGTTGCATTCACAATTAAGTCTATCTCCTCAGTAGAATTCAGTCAAGTAAGACAAACACTCCTAAATTTTGACTCTAAAACTGTTCACATTCTTACTGCTGCAAAATACTGTTCTAGTATCATTATTAAAGTACCTAATATATTTCTGTGTTCGCTTCATTTATTACATGCCATAATGGGACTGCATATTCTTTAGTGCTGGTTATGCACAATTAGCACTTAGTTATTGTCTTGTCACTTCAGCCCCTACAAGACAAACTTCTTTAATGCAAGAAGTTAGCTAATCTTCATCAGTCAAGCAAAGCAGACCATTTTTGTTACCCTGAATACAGAGGAATTAAATATAGAAGATTCTCTTTACTTTGAAGTTTGCTTGGGAAATTTGCTCTCTGATGTAGCCATTCTGATGCATGAGTCTGTAGTTTAAGCA